ACGGAACACAACTCTTCGTACTTTAATGTAATCTTCATTGTAGATTTATTAAATATGGTACTTGAAATCTGAGAAGTTTACTTATATACCAATTCTTGTCATTTCCGATACAGGTATTCCAAAGTAAAAAATTACGAATTGTCTACCTATTAACATTTAGGACTATATTACTATAACCTGTAATTCAGTCATTGATATTTCTTATTAGTGAAAGAAACGAAATTATCATTACCTGTATATTTTTACCTATATGATCATAAACGAAACAGAACGATAATTAATAGGTAAATATAAGATTTAAATATGTTCTGTCATATTTAATACTAAAATATGAAAAATATGAAATTAAAGGATACAGATTTAAATGAACATATGTATTTTTGAATGTAATTGAGATATTGGCTTGAAAATTTTTGTAAAGGGTCGAGAATTTCCATATCTAACTAAAAAATGATATTAAGGGATAAATATGGACTAAATTGTTGTAGCTATCTGCGACCCTATTAAAATTTTGATATAAATCATAGTTTTAGAAATTAAACAAATATGTAATATGTATATGACAAAATCTTTATTTATGAACAAAACTCAATGAAATTTTCAACGCTTGTTAAATTTGTCATTTCAAATAAGAAAATGCAAAAAAAACAATTGAAAAGGTCAAAGGGCATCCCGCAATTCCCAAAAATAGGAATGAAAATCACAAAAATGGGATTTTTTACTTTTTTGCCCATAGGGTCCACATTTCTTTCAGGGCTGGGAAAATACTTTTGGAGTAAATAGAAAACATATTGAGGTTTCCAAAACTGCTTTCAGTTTTCTGATCCCAGCTTTGGGATTTTAGAACATGTCGCCCAAAGTTGAAGTTTTGATAAAAAATAGGTCATATTTTTACGCCAAAGCGTTCTGCGTAAAGATACCTTTTAGAAAACTATAAAATTGTTATATGTTCTTAAAGAAAATTTTATTTTATTAATAAAAGAGTTAAGACACATTTTTGGCAAAAAAACGGCAAAAATCTAAAATTTTTTGAATTTTTAAATTCAAAAACGTATATTTTTGGATCCGTAAATGATATTGAAAAAATTGAGTCCATTTGGTCCAAAATTACGCCCGGTATTCAAAAAAAGGCGGACCAAGGTATGGTAAATTTTGTATCACTAAATTTTTAAATGCCTATAACTCGGATATTATAAGAGATAAGTAGTATGTCCAAGCATGTTTTTTCAAGATTTCGTCGAGTGCTTTCAGAAAATATAAAAATCTTTGTATTTGGGTAAAAACAAAAAAATGGCACGAGTTTAAAAATTTTACATGTCGTAGGTACCCTACTGGGGCATCTGCAGGGTTCATCTTCAAAACTTAAACTCGAATACTCCTTGGCTACGCTCACGCCAAATTTTATCCCGATCGGATCAGCCGTTTAGAAATGTCAGATTTATTTCCAAAAAATTTCGATTCTGCCCCACTGTGCACCGTATTATACGAACTCAGTACTGAGTCAGCAGCTCCTACTACTTTATTTCTAATTATTCCTACAGCCGGGTAATATGTGGAGCTGCCCTCATAAGTTTCATATAATTTGTGGGCAGTTATTGCGGCATGACGCCACGACATAAACTTGCTCGCATCTCCACTGAACTCTGGAATAGATTTCACTATGTCTAGAGATACACTGCATCTCACACCTACTCTGATAGTTATGGGCTTATATTCTTCAACCTGAACAGGACATTCTAAGGCGTATAATCTTTTAGTTAGATCATCAATAGTGTTTTGAAACCCTTGACGTGCTTGTTCAGTTGCCTGGATTAAAGCAGTATTTAGTAAAGCTTGGACGGTACTGGCATCCATATTTAAGGAAGTATTTTCAGAGCTAATTTGAATGTTTTTATTATCCGATATTAATGCCCCTATTATGGTTTACAACTCAACTCTTCTTTAGTTGAAATTTTGGTCTTTGGTATTATCGATAACAACTTAAAATTTAAAGTTGAAATTTATTACAACTTTTTTGAAAAAAATTACAACTTATCAAAAGCAGTTGTAACAAATTACAACTCAATTGTTTAGAATAAATTTTTAAAATAAAACAAAGTAAAGTTTTTTTTTAAACATTTTTTTTAAATTTCATTAATCACTGATTTCAAGCGAATTTACAATAAAAAGATGTTCAATACATTTGTCATTTACGAAAAACAGAAATTCATAAACTTTTCACTTAATTTTATGACAAAAAAGCACTTTTTAGGTTGGCAACATCAACACAATTACAACTGAAATTGGTTGTAATTCATAATACCAAATATAAGTTGAGTTGTTCAAAAGTTGAGTTTTTTCAATTTCAACTCAACTGAGTTGAGTTGTAAACCATAATAGGGGCATAAATCATCGATGTTCATAAGGATAGAAATTATTATTTATTAAATATTTTAATTAATATCTCCGTAATTTTAACAATTTTAACCATAAATCGATATATAGTTACAATTAAGGCCAAAAATTCTAAAACATTGAAAGCTAATAATAACAAATTATATTTAGTAACTAAAATATTTTAGATAAAATAAATTTAAGTAAATAGTTAAACATGCATGCATATGATTAATTAGGTAATTGTAGAAAAAAGTAAAAAGTTATAAAGTTTTTGATTTTAAATTACTCTTATGTAAATAGCTCATATTTTTAAATCTCTTAATTAATTACTATTACTCAACATTTATACATATAGAAATAATTTTAGGCAATAATTAAATAATATATAATTAATTATATTCTTTCAGGAAATAAATTTTTTATAAAGTTATTAATTTTAAATAACATATTAATACTTAAATTACTTAATATTAAATGGCACTCTTTTCATATATTTTTTAGTATCAACTCTTAGTCAACAGCAGCTCTTTCAGTACCCAGCGGTAAAAATACACATTATGTACTCGCTTATCTAAGTGATATTTCGTGGCAGTCAGTGGTGATGCTTTCACTTATTCTTCCACTTAGATTTAACATAAAAGTGTCCTAGGCTGCCTCATCGATGTGCTCTCGCTTAGAATGTAAGCCACAGTTTCATTAAGACAAATTAAAATTTCACTTACATAATGTGTGGAGTTCTAAGCGAAGTTAATGAGACGCATATAAACGCTTGCAAATAAGAATGTAATGTATGTAGATTACAATCCTATTTGCATTTGTAAGTTAAAGTACCATGTCTTCCGATTTTGTTATAGAAAAAATATATTTTTTGTTTACGTTTATTTCAAATTATGTAAGTTTATTTAAAAATTATCATCAAATAATAAACATGTATTATAGTTAATTCAATAAAAATATAATTAAACACTTTTAACGAAGATAAATGAAATGAATCTTAATTTTCTTTTGAAACTTTCGGCCATCTTCCTTTACAGATCCTGTAAACAAACAAGAAGAAATTGTCAGTATTAAAACTAGAATGTATGAAGTAAATTTACCCCAATTTTTAAATCCGTTTGTGGCATTTAGATCACCACAATTATTTTAAATTTTTACAATAAAACAAATTTTTTAAGAAAACACAACTTCACTTACAAAAGATCAACTTTAAACTGAAACAAAAATATTATTCTTTTCATGTAGTACCTATACATACAAAAGAAAAATAAAACGGTACTTTAGTTCTTTTTTTTTAAAGATATAAAAACAAAAAACAACATGAAAAAGGCAGCTAACTCTCTGCTTAAATCGTAATCTATGTTATAATTAAAGTGCATGATATGTTGGATTACGCATACATTGCACTCTAAGTACTTAGATTGCTCGCTTAGAATGTCATACTGATGTCATCGAATATTATCTAAGTACTTTGTTTCATTTACCGCTGGGTAATTACGTCTTCTCGTAGATTTGTTCGTGGCTTTTATTAAATCTCTTTATTATTTAGCTGCTCTTATCCAACTGCAGTACTCTTAATAATTACGTATATTTTAAGTCTCCAATTTTTTATCTTCTTTTATTTAGTCTTATTTTTCTTATATTAAATTTATCATTAATTTTGCTTAGGTTCGTTCTTATTTTCATTTGAATTATTGTCAAGAATTTTTTCAAGAATTTGAATACCGTTATTTTTATTAAAATGTTATTTTCTGTTGATTACTTCTTCAATTTTATGATTTCACATTTGTATTATAACTCTTATTTTGTTCAGTTATTTATTTTATAATTTTCTAGTTTTTAATTTTTTAAATTTTTACTATAACTTATGTCTTTATTATTTTTTAATTTACATTTATTTTAGTTGCGTTAAATTAATGTAATTTCATTTGTAAGATATTTCCCAGTAGCGCGAATTGTGTGTCAGGTATACTGACTTTATTAGATAGATTTTCTCTATTTTTATTATAGAACATCACTTTTTTTTCACAAAAATTAATTAAAACATATAGTTTTATAATGTTCTTTAAACATAAAAGTAATATCAAAAATTGTGTATGTTAAGTATTATATTAATTTTACAATTTTTTTCTAGCTTTAAATGTTTAATTTTCGTCTCAGCCCCACGTTGGGCGCCAATTAATTTTTTATTTTTTCGTTAAAATAAAACCACTTTAATTTGTATTAAAAAATTAATGAAAGTTTTATTTCATTCACAATTTCAATTCTTAACAATAAACTCCGCTTTCCTTTTCTATGAGGATATCTTATTTGACGGTAGACAAAATTAAACTAAAACTAAAGTAATTGCATAAAGAAGGAGAGATCGCAAAAAGAGAGTAATAAAGTTTTTAAAGTAAGGCGAATACTTTAAGTGCAGCCTTAACTTGTACAACAATATTTTCTGAACCATAGTTGACAACTGCTTGCGAATTCACATTTTAAAAACATTTTTATAATATTAATAAAAAAAAGGTTAAAAACAAATATTATTATAAGCTTATTCTCAAGTTATATTGCGGTTTGATTGCTAAATGGTATGTTGGGAAATGAATAATATTTCCAGTCTTTAAATTTGTTCATTGTAGATGCCGAAAGAACTCAAACAACGGATTGAAGACTATTTTCAAACTTCATGGTCTCTTAACCACGGAATAGACATATACGAGGTGAGTTAATATAATAATTATATTTGATTTTTTTTGAATTTAAAACGTGAAATTACGAAGGGATGGATAGGCAATGTATGTATGTATGTATGTATGTATGTATGTATGTAGTATGTATGTATGTATGTATGTATGTATGTATGTATGTATGTATGTATGTATGTATGTATGTATGTATGTATGTATGTATGTATGTATGTATGTATGTATGTATGTATGTATGTATGTATGTATGGTATGTATGTATGTATGTATGTAGGTATGTATGTATGTATGTATGTATGTATGTATGTATGTAGTATGTATGTATGTATGTATGAGTATGTATGTATGTATGTATGTATGTAGTATGTAGTAGTATGTATGTATGTATGTATGTATGTAGTATGTATGTATGTATGTATGTATGTATGTAGATGTATGTATGTATGTATGTATGTATGTATGTATGTATGTATGTAGGATGTATGTATGTATGTTATGTATGTATGTATGTATGTAGGTATGTATGTAGTATGTAGTATGTATGTATGTATGTACGTATGTATGTATATATGTATGTATGTATGTATGTAGTATGTATGTATGTATGTATGTATGTATGTAGGTATGTATGTATGTATGTATGTATGTATGTATGTATGTATGTATGTATGTATGTATGTATGTATGTATGTATGTAGTATGTATGTATGTATGTATGTATGTATGTATGATGTATGTATGTATGTATGTATGTATGTATGTTGTATGTACAAATTCTTCATACATACCTTAAATTCGTATGGAAGGTGCAGCGTCCACTACTGCAAGTTCCCCCAATTTCTCAAATGTTCTTATATAATTAAATTATGCTCAAAATGCTCAACGGTTTTCGACATACATATATGCATTTTTGTATTTAATTCGGATGGGAAATAACACGCACCTATTGCAAAACCGTCAATTTATTACTATTTACTAAAGAACAGTTTAGAACAGTACCCACTTCAATGTCAAAATAAAGACAACACTGACGCCAAAGCTGAAACGTTCACAAGTGCCCTGTTTGAATCCTTCGACGACAGTTGCCCTCTGCGAGAGCGGATATCTGACCAGGAGAAACCCTGGGTAACAGGGGACATCCGGAACCTTGAGAAGACTCTCGCTTTTGCATACAATAAAGCTGCAGGCCCGGATAGTGTTTTCCGTAGATCTGTCAAAGATTTTGACTGCATGCTTAAAATTCCAATATATCCCAATTAAATGGTAGGATGCAAAGGTGATATTTATACCAAAATCCGAAAAACCTTATTAAAACCTTGGAACGGATAGTCGATAGCAAGACGGAAAACTGTCTTTTCACAAGAAAGACAAACATTTTTATAGCATATTGAACCATGTTTCCTGGGCAAGATGATACCGGTGACAAACAGAGTTAAGAACTTAGGTGTAATCCATGACCGAAAATTAAAATGGAGACACCACAGGATTAACAAGGTACATTGGTGCCAGCGCTATGTATGAGAACCATAAGCATGAAACGGGGCCTTAGTTCTACTTAGATACATTGGCTTAATAAAAGTGTAATTAGACCAATACAGCGTACATGCCGCTTGTGTATAAGCGGGAGTACTACGTTGACCAAGGCTCTGGAAACGTTGCTAGTTATTCCTCCCAATCAATGTGTACTGAACACATTGGAAGGCTATACACAATCATCGGACTTGCTCGATCGCATACCAGTTTTTCGCATGAAGTTTTTCAATTACAATTACATACTTGCAATGTATAATTGACCAATAACCAATTACAATTACATGTAATTCTATTTCAAGTTTTGTTATTGAAGTTTAATAATTAAAATTGCCTTTCAAATAAAAAAGTCAATATAAAATCTCTATTGGTTTAGCCCAAAAAATATAATATTCTGTTGAAATAAAAAAACTCTAAAAACGCATTTAATTTTCTTCACTTTCCTGACAATAACATCGTCTCAAAACTACAAATCTCAACTTAAAGTCTAGAAATTTCACTATATTACTTATACCTTTTTGACCAAGTTTTCAGGGTAAATGTCGCATAATGCACCGTTTCGAAACGGTTGCCAACCATGATTTGACAACTTTGACACCTAAATATATAATAAATAGCAATAGTGGGAGTGGTAATACCCCAATAAGCATTTTTGCTGGAATTCAAGTGTAAATCAATTTAATTCCAGTCAAACATTCAAATTTCAAGTGTTGAAATACACTTGCATTACACTTTAATTCAATAGCATTCTCCAGTGAAAAGGAAACTTGAATTCAGGTCGAACATTATAATGTTATTACAGTTTAATTCAAGGCTTGAATAACATTACAACTCGAATAGAAAAAATGATTAAATTCAATCTTTGAAATACAGTTTAATTCAAACCTTGAATTTTAATATAATTCCTATCGAAAAAGTAATTACATTCAAGCACCTATAATATACATATATGTATATATATTTATGTAGATATGTATTAGCTGTAGGTGTAACATACTACCACATATCTTAAAATTTAACAGACATAATTAAGACATTTATTAATAATAAATAAGAAATGAATGAGGACAAAATTACATACATATTTATACATTTTACATGGCAAAAACTTGTATAAAACATAATTTACAGGATCACTCTGTTTCTTTAACATTACAAATAAATCAGCAAAGATCTTGAAAGAACGCATCAACCAGAAATATTTGCATTATTCTATATACATTCTATATATATCAAAGAATATTTTCTACATTAATCCCGTTTTGGGTTGGTTTAATCTGCATACATACCTTTTATTGCAATTGGATTCATTGATTTTTATAAATTCTGACACCAACATTTGCTGTTCTATTTTGTTGCATTGAAGTAAAAATATGAACATTTTTATTATTAATATTTTTAATTTATTTTCAAGTTTGACAAGAAAATTTGGTTTGAAAACATTATTTGACTTTTACTTGAAAATAAAACTGGAATTAAAATTGAATTATAATTAAATTTCAAGCACTTGAATTTATAATTTTTGAGTGCTTATTGGTACCAAATTACGTAAATTTGGAAAACTGTAACAGCTACAGTTCCAAATTTTTTGCGATTAACTTTAGTATTTTGTGTAAAAATGTGCGGATAAGAAATAGTGATCATGTCATTTTCTGTATAAAGTTAATATCAAAATTTGTACATCTGGTAAATCACCTAGCAAAAATAAATCGTAGAACATTCAAAATAATTTAATTTATCATCACTTCAAAAGATGATAATAAGGAAGTGATGTTGAATGACTTCCAAAGAAGCGAAAATAATTATATTTTTTTTTATACTGAAGGTATATTTTTTCCAATTCTTTTTAGTTAAAAAGTAAAATAATAAAAGTACATATTACCCCAAAATATGTTTTATGTGAAATGTGTGTAATTCCTTTATTTATGTTAATATTATTTTAATCAAATTAGTTATATTCTATAATACTACAATTTCACTTCCAAGTAGCTTCCAAGAAAAGAATATAAAAATTACTTCTTGAGAATCCCTTCAGTCGACAATTTGAAATCAAATAAAAAGGACATCCCTCCTATGACAAGCCTGTGTTAAAACCATCACTTCTTCAGGGCTTTTTTGGTACTTCCATGGAGTAAATTCTACTTCTTTTTACTTCTACTTCTTTTATATGACTAAGAGCGGGTTTTTGAAATGATAATCAAATGCCAATTAATAATCAGATTAGTTAATCTAAAAATAAATTAAATCTTATGTTAATCCCCTTTGATGTTTTTGAGTACAAGATTAAACTTCGCAGTGTTGCCATACAAAACAACAGAAAACTTCACTGTTTGTTATCAAAACAATGCATATTTTATAAAAAAGAAGAAGACAATTGTAAATTTAATATGAAAATTAATGAAAACTTAAATTAAAAACAAAAAAATGTATTTTGAAGTGTCCATAATTTATACTAATCAATAAATAGAACATTTTAATGTTTATATTTATAAAAATTTTATTAATTTTTTTGCATCAGCTGTTTACACTTTTTCATTTCGTGCTTAAGATTAAACCACCTCCATTGGGCGCTTAAACTTGCAAACAGAATTAACTAATTGAGTACTCAAAAACATCTTTCGAGGATTAATTTTAATTTAATCGCTAATCTTTCACCTAAATATTGGCCCTAAAGATACGGCGTAACCTCTACTTTTGGTATATGTTTTTTTGATCTTACATAATCTTTGCAATTGCAAATAATGTCGAAACAAACAATAAAAAAGTTATTAAAAGTTATTAATTAATTACTTTCAAGATATATGTATATTAGGGTGATCCCAAAATTAATGTTGTTGATGTTCCCACCGAAAATTAAAATTTAGTACATTCTAAGATACCAATTCTCAAAATTTTTTTCCTGACGCACGCGGTATAGGAAAAAATAGAGGGAAATAATTTTGTAACTTCTAAGCGGTTAGTCCGATTTGAATGAATGAGGAGGTGCTGTCGAGTTTAAGTTCTGAACATGGACCTCATGGGCCTACCGGGGGAGCGGCCAAAGGTCCCCAAAGTAAGACACCTTCAAAAGAATTATTACATATGAAATCTGCTCGATGAGTACTATGAACCTTGTCGTAGCTATAAATTATCTCTTATTGCTTGGGAGATATTCGCATTTGAAAATTAAATTTTCAACTTTTTTACCCACACTTGTCCACTTTTTTAAAAAACTTAAAAGTGGCGATTTTTCGTTAATATTTTTGGAAAAAGTTATCTTTAAAAATTTCTAAGAAGATATACATATAAAGAACCATGAGATGTTAAATATTTCCTCCTTTTACATGTGAAACGGACAAGGTAGACATTTTATATATCAATGGATTGGAAATTAAGTTTTCAGAAATTTATAAATTTTTTAGCAATTCAAAATTTCATAGAAGACTGTTTTAAAAAAATGAGTCAAAAATAGTTTTTTGTTGAATTTTTACGAACACAAAAATTTT